GGGCTCTGGGCTGATGGCTCAGAGCCTGGAGCCTGTTTCCGATTCTGTGTCTCCCTCTCTCTCTGCCCCTCCCCCGTTCATGCTCTGTCTCTCTCTGTCCCAAAAATAAACGTTGAAAAAAAAAATTTTTAAAAAAAAAGAACCCTCTAGATGATTTTTTATGCAAAAGAAGAAAACAATCAACTTAGCAATTAGATTCAGAAAAAGACAGGTTCTAGATATGTTTGTATATATGTTTATATATATATATGATGTATATAAATAATTGCTATTATATGTTTCTCTAGAGCCCTTGCATCAGACATGGAGAAATTTATTTAGAACCTGCTGAGCATTTAGGCAATAATTTAATTTAATGGTGGCATCAAAGTAAATATTCAAATTATTCTGTAGTGTTTATTTTATAACACTGAAAATTTAAGATAGTAGTTACTTTACTTTGCATAGGCTATTCACAAATCCATTAAAATTTGTAACATTACACAACTCATTTTTACCTAATTGGAATACACTCCTTCTAAATCTTCCTTATGTCCTCATAAATTGTGACAGATATTTACTATCACATGCCATAAACTGATACAGCAAGTGGGATCCACGGAATGGGGCAAGAAGGGGACAGAAGTCAGGCCCTTGAAATTGGCAATTTGCAACCTGAAGGACTGGGATTCTATCTCCAAGGATTTACATCTCTGAAGTGAGCTTTGTGGCCCCGAGCCCAATTCCAAGACTGCTTAGAAAGCAGTGACCAGTGGCATGCACCAATGCCACGTGTGTGACAGGTCTGCTTAGTGGGGTCCTTACAGATCTGGGGAGATCACTGGCCAGTGCATGTGACAATACTACAATACTACTTTCGGCAGAAGGGAATGTGCTCTGGTCGATAAGGTTAGGCTACAAAGGTGGATGGATGATACAGACTAGCAGAACCTGCAAAATAAAATGCAAGGTGGGAAGAGTTTTGGATTATCACTGCTCAGGGCTTCTAGATACTTGACTAACCAAATGAACCCAGGGAAATATGACAGGTACTTCATTTAAAAACAGTTGTTGGGGCTCCTGGGTGGCTCAGTTGGTTAAGTGTACGACTTTGGATGAGGTCATCATCTCACAGTTCGTGAATTCGAACCCCGCGGTGGGCTCTGTGCTGACAGCTCAGAGCCTGGAACCTGCTTTGGATTCTGTGTCTCCCGCTCTCTCTGCCCCTCCCCCACTCATGCTCTCTCAAAAATAAACATAAAAAAAATTAAATATTTAAAAACAGTTGTAATTAGTGACAAATACGGCATAGTATTGTTTTTTCCATGAAGTGCAGAGTTACTGCATTTTATTTGCATCGTTTCTCTTCAAAAATCATACTTTTAGGTAAGTGAGAAATCCACCAGTATTTTTCTCACGACCTATTTCTGGAGAGGCGGTGTGGTATGGAATGTCAGTTTCCAGTCAGCTGGGTCTGGGTACACATCCCTGTCTCATTGTAGCTAGCTGTGTGACTTTCATGAAGTGACTGATCAAAATAGGTAAGGATATAAGGAGGGCTACAGGCCATTCCCTCAGAGGTAAGGTGACTAGCTACCTCCTAGGAGCACAAGAAGATTCAAGATGATGCATGTGCCACCTTCAGCAGAGTGCCTGCAGCTACTTGCTTCTGCTTTGTTTTTGTTTTGTTTACGTAACTGCAAAGTGTTATGACTAACGCTTTTCATATACCTTGTAATTCTGCTTGTGGGAATGTGTCCTCAGATACAACTAAAGAAGGATGAATATTCAAAGTTTTGTGTGTTACAGCACTGTGTGAAGGAGCAAAAGACTGGAGGGAACCTAAATTTGCATTTATAAGGAACTGATTAAATCAATTATGGTACCTCCCTAAAATGGAATATCATGTAGTTGTTAGAAAAGCAAGACAAGGGGCGCCTGGGTGGCTCAGTCGGTTAAGCGGTTAAGCGTCCGACTTCAGCTCAGGTCATGAGCTCATGGTTTGTGAGTTTGAGCCCCGTGTTGGGCTCTGCGCTGACAGCTCAGAGCCTGCAGCCTGCTTTGGATTCTGTGTCTCCCTTGCTCTCTGCCCCTCCCCCACTCACACTCGGTTTCTCAATAATAATAAATAAAATTAATTAATTTTTAAAAAAGCAAGAAAAAATTTTATACATCATGGTAAGGGAAAATTTGCAAGAGACAATGTTAAGGAAAAAACTCAAGTTCTAAAGGAGTATGTATTGGAGGCTAACGTTAGTGTAAAAAGGTAGAAAATTATAAACATATCCATATTTTTATAAACTCTGGAAGGTACAGAAGGATAGCAGTGATGTCTTAATATGTTTGTATTTTAAAAATTGTGAACCATGTGAACGTACCTATTTAAAAAACTAAATTTTAAAATTCAGGCTTTAAAAAGAAAATATAGGCCTAAAAAGCATGTGGCAAAATACTAATACATGGGGGTAAGATAGAGAGTAATTTTTCTACCGCATGGTACAAACCAGCCACCAGTTATGGGATTTACAATTAAAAATCAAGGTTATTTGGATCATAGTATAAAAAACTATGCATTACATCTTTAAAAGTGATGGCAAATGACTATTCAACATTTTAAAGAGATATATATGTGACATGTATTAATATATAAAAAAGTCATGATTACCTTTATCATTTCTTCTTCTCCTGCTGTTTTACTTTTCGCTTCTATATCACCTGCTTCGTTGCATCTAATAAAACAGCTATTTGAGGCCAATAGGGCCATTTTCCCCTGTAAAACAAAACAAAAAAGTCACAGGAATACCTACAAAATAATTCTTATATCTT